ATGAAAATTTGTTTGAACGGGAACTGTGTCATTTTCATCGACTTGTCACTGTTATTTCTAATATCTATAATTTAGGTATCTGAAGGTTCAAATGATGGTGATGTTCTGTTGGCCAGTTTAAAAAAATGTAATGAAAATGAAGAATTATTGTCTGTGATGTGCACAGTACAAGGACCATGGAGCTTCATTTACTGGCAGGTCAGTTTGATTTTTACAGGTCACCTCTATCATGTGACAGATCACATCTATCATGTGACAGGTCACCTCTATCATATCTGGTCAGTTACACTTTGACAGGTCACCTCTATCATGTGACAGGTCACCTATCATATCTTGTCAGTTACACTTTGACAGGTCACCTCTATCATATCATGTCAGTTACACTTTGACAGGTCACCTCTATCATATCTGGTCAGTTACACTTTGATCGATCACCTATATCATATCTGGTCAGTTACACTTTGACAGGTCACCTCTATCATATCTGATCAGTTAGACTTTGACAGGTCACCTCTATTATATCTGGTCAGTTTACTTTACAATTACTGTATATAGAGTTTCCCTCTATTCTGATTGGTAAGTTTTAAATATTCATTTCTGTTCTGCCAATGTTCCCTTGTCAAACATTGTATACATTGTTTGCATAATAATCTTTTTTCGGGACAGTTAGATATGTAAATGAACATGGCATTGTAATCTTGATGTTTGTTTCTATTTTAGGAAAACAAAAAGTATCTGTGGTTTGGTCGTGATTTTTTCGGCCGCCGGAGTCTTCTTTTGCATTTACCGACTTGTCGAAATGACAGCTTTGTGATTACATCTATTGCTTGCAGACCCCTGACAAGGTCATCTAAGGTGAGTATATCTGTCTCAACCTTTACAAAGTCAATTAAAGTGAGTGGCTTTGTTTCAACTAGTAATTAATTTATTATTATTAATTTATTAATTATTTTATTATGGAAGACAACAATTAAACCACCAATAACTATGATTCTACCATGGACAATACCAGTAATTTACTGCAATGAACTATGATTCTATCACTGACAATACTAGTAATTTACTGCCATGGACTATGATTCTATCACTGACAATACTAGTAATTTACTGCCATGGACTATGATTCTATCACTGACAATACAAGTAATTTACTGCCATGGACTATGATTCTACCACTGATAATACTAGTAATTTACTGCCATGGACTATGATTATATCATTGACAATACTAGTAATTTACTGCCATGGACTATGATTCTATCACTGACAATACTAGTAATTTACTGCCATGGCTATGATTTTATCACTGACATTACTAGTAATTTACTGTCATGGACTATGATTTTACCACTGACCATACAAGTAATTTACTACCATGGACTATGATTCTATCACTGACAATACTACATGTAGTAATTTACTGCCATGGACTATGATTCTATCACTGACAATACTAGTAATTTACTGCCATGGACTATGATTCTACCACTGACATTACTAGTAATTTACTGCCATGGACTATAATTCTATCACTGACAATACTAGTAATGTACTACCATGGACTATAACTCTATCACTGACATTACTAGTAATTTACTGCCATGGACTATGATTCTGCCACTGACAAAACTAGTAATTTACTGCCATGGACTATGATTCTATCACTGACAATACTAGTAATTTACTGCCCTGGTCTATAATTTTACCAATGACAATACTAGTAATTTAGTACTAATGACTATGATTCTACCACTGACAATACTAGTAATTTACTGCCATAGACTATGATTCTATCACTGACAATACTAGTAATTTACTGCCCTGGTCTATAATTTTACCAATGACAATACTAGTAATTTAGTACTAATGACTATGATTCTATCACTGACAATACTCATAATTTGCTGCCACGGACTATGATTCTACCACTGACAATACTAGTAATTTACTGCCACAGACTATGATTCTACCACTGACAATACTCATAATTTACTGCCATGGACTATAATTCTATCACTGACAATACTCATAATTTACTGCCACGG